TCAATTTTATTGGAATAAAACAAGGTATTTAGCAACACATCCAAACACTTTTTCAAGAGAACACTTTCTTTGGTAAACAAATAAACAAAAAAAACACAAAAAAACCCAGGAATGTCACCTTAAAGTCACAGAGGCATTTCAGACAAAAAATCAAACGGTGTGAGGCATGTAATTTCATTAAGCTTCATTTACAAAACCATGGAGGAAGATATAATTTGACTTCACTGTATGGGTAGAGAAGAAGAACAATTTAGAAACGTAGCCTCAAGATTCTACCATGTGTCAGTGATGCCAAATTTTCAGATTTTCTCACTGATGGTTACTCATTGTCTGGGTTCCAGTAGCTGGAGATGCTTATATTTACATCATGGGAGTGTTCTTAGATGCCTATGCCATAAAATTGGCGATTGGTCAGATTCCATTTGTGTTACCAATTTGTGACTAATATGTGATTGGTCAGAAAGAAACTGCTTCCAATGTTTTCAAATCCACATCAACACATGTTATCATCTGTCTTTCTTATGTTAGCCATCCTCATGGGTGTTAAGGGGTATTCCTAATGACCGATGATGCTGATTATCTTTGCATGCATTTATTAGCCATGTGTATATCTTCTTTGAAGAATGTTCCCATTTTAAAAAATTCAGTTATTTGTCTTTTTATTATTGGATTGCAAGAGTTCTTTACTGCATATTAGACCCCTATCAAATATATTATTTGCAAATATTTTTTCTCCTGTAAGACATTGATTCTTAACCAATTTTTGTATCATGGGCAGCATTTTAACCATCTGATGAAGCCATGGACACTCATCCAGCCAAGTGTACATGCCCATGAAATTTTGAATGCATTTTCAGAGATTTTACAAAGATCCCTAAGCCTTAAGAAACCCCAAGAGCTTGTGTCTTTCTCCCATCTCCCCAGGTTTTGCTTTTCTCTAGGATTATGTAGATACAGTCTGACAAAAGGAAATGCCTTGCAATGAGAGGAAGAAAACAATTCTTTTGGTGGGTAGCATGAGGATTCCATTTGGCGACAGAATAGCCTTATTGGGACCAGGCAATTCTCTATAAGGCTGAGTATGCTGTGTCTTCAGAGAAGAGAGGGAAACTGTGGATGAGACAAGCAGATATTTTTCTCTCCTTCTGGATGGATTAGGAAGAAGGGAGAGAGAGAACTATAGGAAATGGAAAAACCGAGAGGGGGTTGGAGAAGATAATTCCCAGGGCATATCCTGATAAATTGCAAGTAAATGGATGTTTTTCTAGGGCTGATCAATGACACTTGCTTAACTACCTTTGGCATGTCTGCTTCTCAAATGGAGAGAAAACAATGAAGTGGAACAGTGAGAGCTATTTAAACAGACAACTGGGAGCCAGAGGCTGAGGAACGTTTAGACCTTCCTATTTTTCTAAGGTCTGGTGGAAAAAAAGTATCATGAATCCAAATACTAATTTTTTTAGACATGCAAAGTTATCACTTAAGCCAAACTCAATGTCTTGTGACAAATTTGCTCCATTCTGTCTAATATTGTTATCTTTGGTTAAAAAAAAACCCAGAAAAATTGTGCTCATTGTTTCAGAATCTATCAGGAACTTCAAGGCATCATAGAAATTTAGCATTTAAATGTTAAAATTTAAGCCTTGTACCTAATTCCCTACTCATCATGCCTAAGATTTTAGATCAAAATCTAAAAGGTCATTTAGATTTTACTTGAAGGCTTTTGATGATGGGGAAGTCACCACCTCATAGTAAGCAATCCAGTTGATTTGATCTTTGAGCAGTTCTAACTCTTAGAAAATTCCTTCTTCACTGAGCTGAATTGATCCTTTACTATTATCACTGATATGTAGCAACATACCTATGTTCCAAATGTCATATCTAGTGGACATAAACCATAGGTACTCTTTATTTAGCACCATCTATAAGTCAAACACTTACGCGATAGGTGCTGTATATTAATATGTACTTATGATTAATCTTTACAATTCAGAAAGGCAGGAGTATCCTTCTTATTCAACAAGTAGGATTGAGAATTACATTCATGTTTCAGAGATAATAACTGAAAAACTGGAATTTGAACCTTGGTCTATATGATGCCAGAGTTTGAATGATTGCTACCATGCAACGCTGTCTAGCTAAGAATGGTCTTTTTTTTTTTTTTTTTTTTTGAGACGGAGCCTTGCTCTTTCACCAGGCTAGAGTGCAGTGGCGCAATCTCGGCTCACTGCAACCTCTGCCTCCTGGGTTCAAACGATTCTCCTGCCTCAGCCTCCCGAGTAACTGAGACTACAGGCACCTGCCACCACGCCCCGCTAATTTTTGTATTTTTAGTAGAGACAGGGTTTCACCATGTTGGCCAGGATGGTCTTGATCTCCTGACCTTGTGATCCACCCACCTTGGCCTCCCAAAGTACTGGGATTACATACTTTGTTTTTTACCTGAAAGGTTTAAATAATAGAAGACCATGCTGTTTTCACTGTGCCTATCTTCTGTTCCCTCCTCAGCAAGCAAATAGCATTAGATTCTTTGAACCAAAATCATCTGTTGAATATTTTTGTTACAAAGCTCTGTGCCAGTTGCTCTAAACAACATGATTTTGGAGTGGGAATTTGGCTTCTTAATGAATTAACTCACAACCTAGTAGCTACACCAGAAAGTAATACTATTAAGGACTATTTTTGTGGGACAAAGAACAGTGGAATATATATGATGAATAACCAGGTCCATCGTATACTCTGCCTTCGGAATCATTTTGTTAGCTCATACTTTTTTTCTTCTCTCTATAGCTTCAATTTTCACTTTCTTGATGTTGCCTTCCTGTTAGAAATAAATAGATACCTAGTCAGTAGCTCGACAAATGGTAACATCTTTCTCTTTCTTTGTTCTGGTGGGCAACTAGATTTAAACACAAGATTTAAACAAGCAAGCTGGGAAATTTCTATTTATCAGTTGAGTTAGATGTGCATCAAGGCAGATGGTCCTAAAAAGATGGAAGTGGAATTGAGAAGTCTCCATTCTTGATGAATACAGTCTGTAGAGGTAATGTGGCCAATGGGGTCTCACTTTTAACCACAGATTTTTAAGTTGTAAAAGTTTGTTTACTCGTATTGATATTACAGAGCAGGCTCTTGAATAACGAGTGCTAAATAACTGTATCTGTAGGCCTTGAAGATTTCTGCAACATTAGGCATGGACTATTAAATGGAACTTTCATTGTATTCCCCATCTTGTGATGCGTAATGGGGTCTTATATTAGTTGAGAGACATCGTAGATGAGTGCACACTAGGACATTTATGGGAACAAGAAAGTATATTGATATCATATTTCATATATATTTATGCCTTTGAACTCCTCATGGACTTGTTCTTAGACTTTTGACTAGAAATAAATTCTTCACTATTTAAACAATGTTTTCCCAAACCTTTATGTACCTAGCACCATCCAATTTCTTTTTTATGCCTTGTTATCTCATGGACACAGTGGGAATTGAAAACCAGTGTTTTTAATAAAAAGGTCTTATATTGGTGAACAGGGAATTGAGGACTTGGAAGCTTCTAATTATGTAGCACAGGCAATGAATGCAGGCTATCTCTGAGTTTACCCTGGTTCCTTCATCCAGCCTGGCAGGCACTGTGGAGGGGCCTTGCACAATTTGTGCTGGGAAGGCATCGGGGGAGAAGAATCTTTTACTGGGCAGGCAAGGATAAAAGGGGTAGAGAGAACTAGGCATGTGATAAAAGCACATACAATCTGTTTAAATATATTCTTAAGATTGCTTTAAAATATTTCGTTCTGGCCTTTCAGAAGAGTCCTGGGCTTTTCAGACTTGAGGCAGAAGGACGATTGTGTGAGTCAAGCTGCCTCAGGATGTTGTTTATAAAGGATAATTTCTTCATTAGTTCTCATTAATTCATTCATTCTGCCAGTATTTGCTGAGTGCCAGCCGCTGTCCTAAAGCTGGAATTCTAGTGATGAACAAGATTGACACAGCCCCAACTCTCATGAAATTCTAGAGACTCTCAGAGGCGTGTGGCCTCTGATCTCACAAAGTAAAAAGAACCCCAATTTCAGATAAAAAGGCATTTATTTTTGGTTAAAAAATATTTCCTTTAAAAAGCTATCTCCATGTAGTGCAATAATGTCACAGGATTTTAGGATTGAAAGGCTCATGCATTCAGGTGATGAATATTTATGAGCTACTATGTTACAAAGCAGTGCTACCATCTCAGCTAACATTGTTAAAATGGTCAAGACATACTGGTCTGGTGTCCCCCTCTCCCCTGAAGGATGGGACTTTACATGTCTATGCTGCAGTTCAAGATGTGTTGATTATGTATTTTGATCTCAGATAGCAATCTCCTCTCACCCCGCAGTAATTTCTGAATTCTAGAGAAAGCCTTAATGTAAGCTCCAGGTATTCACAATTTGTTGGGTCTGTCACATGGGATGTCATGGGGTTGTAGTTAATAGGAGAGGAAGAATGAAAGACAGTCTTAAAGTTTATTTATTCAGTTCTCTCATTTGTAAACAAGTTACCTGAACTCAAGAGAACAGAAGGCACATAGGAGTGATAAAGCCAGGCTGTCCAGTTTTCAGGCAGGTCACCTTTCTAGCTCACCATCTTTGTATTTGGCCATTATGATATTTCTTTGGAATAAAAATTGCTTACCAGGATAAAGGGCAGGTCTTTGTTTCTCTCATTTACCACTGTATCCCCAGTGTCACAATAGTGCCTGGTATGTAGCAGATGCTCAATGATTTTTGGTGAAGGAATTAATAAATGAATGATATAAAGGCTTTTATCACAATTAAGTATGACTTAGAGGATATAAAGAAAAGTCAATTAATCCAGCTTTGCCAATAACATACAAAATCAATATGCACGTAGAGTTTGATTTTTTCATTGGCTTTACTGATCTTTACTATGAGTGTCTTATTAGTCATCTAAATCCCTTTCTGCTGCCTATATTTCCAGAATATAACATCAGGAAGGAGGGTTCCATGGTGTAATGGTTAGCACTAGCACTCTGGACTCTGAATCCAGCGATCCGAGTTCAAATCTCGGTGGAATCTTTCATATTGGCTGGGTGCTGTGGGAGGCCAAGGTGGGCAGATCACTTGAGGCCAGGAGTTCAAACCCAGCCTGGCCAACATGGTAAAACTAAAAATACAAAAATTCAAAAATTAGCCGGGCATGGTGGCAGGTGCCTATAATCCCAGCTACTTGGGAGGCAGAGGCTGCAATGAGCTTTGCCACTGACATTCAGCCTGGGTGACAGAAGGAGATTCTCTGTCTCAGACAAAAGAAAAGGGGTCCACACAATCGGAAATTATTCTTTCATCCAACAGGCAGTTGGTTATATACAGAAATTCCAAAGGAATTCCTTGCAGATTCTTATTTTTAAAATAACACGAGTTAGAGAGGAGAGGTCATGGGATGGTGTAATTCATGCCGTGTACCCTGGCCCACAGACACTTTTGACAACTAGACTGACACATTAGTAAGGGCAGTGATGGGTTGTATAATGAGGTTTCAGCCAATGATGAACAGCAGGTATGGTGGTGGTGCCATAAGATGATAATGCTATATTTTTACTGTACCTTTTCTATGTTTAGATACACAAATATTTACCACTGCATTCCAATTGCCTACCATATTCATACTGTACTATGATGTACAGATTTGTAGCCTTGGAGCCATAGGCTATACCGTATGGCCTAGGTGTGTAGCACAGATGGCTGTGCCATCTAGGTTTATGTAAGTACACTCTATGATGTTTCCACAACAATGAAATCACGTAATGACACATTTCTGAGAATGTATCCGTACTGTTAAATGGTGTGTGACTGTAAACGAAACCCCAGAATGGAGAAGGTTGCTTATGTAAAGAAGATTGCTGTTTAACTAGAAGATGCAGTTGATAAATACAGCAGTTATTTGAGAAAAGAGAAAGGACTCAGTTTCTTTGGGACACTACGCTGGCAGTTAAATAATCTGTTTTTAATTTTGTCTCCCTTATCTAATGACCCAAAATGAAGTATTTCTTGGCATATGCACTGAAGAGAAAGGTTCCAACTTGTCCTATGTACCACAGACTATTCCACATTTATTTCATCACCATTTACAGTGTCCAAAGAATGTTTGAGGTTATGAATGGAATCAGTTAAAGAATAGCCTGTTATTTATGCACCTAAGTTAGCTGAAAGTTAACTTATGCACCTAAGTTAGCTGAAAGTTAACTCATGCACCTAAGTTAGCTGAAAGTTAACTCATGCACCTAAGTTAGCTGAAACATATTTTGGGAATGAAATATGTTTTTCTCTATCAAAGTTATCTAATAAGGTACAATTATACCCAAAGGCAGTTGGATTTGATTTTTATAAATGATAACATAGTAGGGACCCATGTTTAAGTAATTCGGACTTTGTGTAAGTCAGCTGTCTAGACAATTAAATGATGCAAGTTCTGATTCTAGGCAATTCATTACCTGATTTAGTAATCTTCTCTGCTCCTTTGCCTGACTTAAGAGTTAGGAGACAGTATATTTTGTCTCTATTCTGCCAATAACATTCTGTATGACCTTGGAGAAGCCACTTAGATATTCCATGTCTTAATTCACTTATTTATAAAATGGAAATAATAACCACACCAAGACCACTTATTACAGGTTGAATTGTATCCTTCAAAAATATATGTCAAAATTCCAACGCCAGGAACTATGAATGTGACCTTATTTGGAAATAAGGTCTTTGCAGATGTAATGAAGTTAAGATGAGGTCATTAGAGTGGACCCTAATCCAATTTGACTGCTTTTCTTATAAGAAGAGGGAAATTTGGCCACAGAAAACACAAAGAGAGAACTCCATAAGGCAACAGAAGAGAGATTGGAGGGATGCAGCTGTACACCAAGGGATGGGGGCACCAACGGCACCAGCGCAGCTGGGAAGATGCTACCGAAGATGGTGTAATGGATGCTACCTGGAGTCTTGGGAAGGATGGGAAGGATGGTACCCAGAGTCTCGGGGGGAGCATGGCCCTGCTGACACCTTGATTTTGGACTTCTTGCTTCCAGAACCGTAGGAATATAAATTTGTGTTGTTTTAAGCCACCCTATTTGTGGTAATTTGTTACAGCAGCCCTAGGATTTGATTTTTATGAATGATAACTAGGATTTGATTTTATCAAATCAAATCTAATAAATTGCCTAGCTAATAAACTAATAAATCGCCTAACTCGTGTGGTGGTATGAAACTAATAAATTGCCTAACTCATAGGGTAGTATGATATGATATTAATACTATATGTAAAAATATTTCTACATCTATTGGAGCAAGATAAATTGCTGTGACAATATATAGATCACGTTATCTTTCTTAACCCCAAGAGATATCCAAAAGGAACTTCTCTAAAGCAGACAGTGTTAGGGAAAATTAAAAACTCTGTTAGAAATGCTTTTTATGATTAAAAGAAGATTTTGTTAACAAGATTTTAGAATTAACAAATTATCTCTAGTAGAACCCTGAAAATACAGCATTTCACAAACACGTTAGAACAACCATTTTCTGCCTTCTTTGATTTTTGTGTTTAAGCCATTTCTTTCCCTGAGTATATGAGTTTTCTTCAAGGAAATTTGAGTGCCTTACTCATTACACTTAAGAGTGTTGGCTTTGCCACAGGCTACACAATAATCAGAAAATAAAAATGTAGAAAAACTTTTAAAAAATTTTATGATCTTTAGCCACAAAAATCCCCTCCATGGGTCTGATTCTCTATTAACCACCCTCAGACAAACCATGGTAACGAAATTCTATCACACTGCAGTCATTGCACAATTATCTCTGTTGACCTAAAAGAATCATTAGTCCAAAAAACGTATTCATCATTTAAAAAAGGATATTCACCTTTAGAAAGTATTGTAGCATATTGCCCCTTCTATATACACATATGAAAGGAGTGACTATTGTTTTATATGTATATATACACACAAATGTACACACATGTGTATATAATAATTATTATAGATAATTGTTATTAGTTGCTTTTTATTTTTCAGAATTTTCTTCTACTTCTATTGGTCTAATCAGGAGAGAGTTAAATGTATCAGACTGAAAACTGGAGAAACTTTGGAGGTCATTGGGCTTAAATCCCCTCATTTTAGAGATAAGGGAAGCAGAGCATAGCTTTTCAGTGACCTGTTGAAGGTTGCACAGGGATTTGGTGACAGAATAGATTTCCAGTTGCCTGACTTCCAGTCTGGCGCTCTTTCTTCTCTAAAACCATAGTGATCATACAGACTTGTATTGGTTCTTAGATCTCTCACTAGCTCCATGACCTTGGATGAGACTCTCAAATTCTCTAAACATGCCTTTTCTTGTTTGTAAAATGAGAATGAAAAAACCAGGCTGGTAAAAGCTGGAGTACAGCCAAAACAAAAATATACAGGCCACACAGTATTACTCAAGCTGAAAAAAGTTCAGCTTCCCACTATTCCATCCCCACACCACATGAGTGACTACTTGTCCCTCTGCCTCAGCTCAGTCATCAGTTTCTGGGGCATTTCTTCATTGACCCTTGGGGACTTGCACAGGATCTTTCTTTCTGAGCTTATAGTCCCTGGAACTCTTCGTAGTATACATGTACCACATTACTCTAGTCCAGTTGCCGCGTTATTGGACTGTAGGTACTTGATAGCAGAAACTATTTATACTCACTATTATACCTTGGCACTTAAGACAGTACTTAACAAATAGGAATTGCTCAATGACTGATCAATCAATAAATAACAAATACTAGGGGTAGATATATTGAAAATAGGTCTGTATTCTCATGGAAGGCATTCCATACCTGCTTCCAGTGTAAAGGTTGAATGAGCTCTCACACATTGTATGGACCATTTTTTCCAAATGATATAACTTTGTAATTATATTTTGCTTAGGGTGCTGATAAAATGAATTTCCTTGTAGTGCTTGAGTACATACTAAGAGTGGAGCAAAGATAGCTAGTTTAGAGCAATCCTAGTTTCACTGCAGAAAATTCAGTTTAGAATCATGTCCTTGCTGAGTATCAGCCATGGCATACAGTTATTTGTAAATAAACTGAAGATGCCTGAAGTGTGAGAAGTGGTTGTAGAAGAGGTGAAACAGCTCCAAGGTTGTTGTCAAATTTCCTGGGCCTGAGTCTGCGTTTCAGTGTCCTATTCATAATGCAGGGATAACAAAGTCCACCTCATAACATTTTTGAGAAGAACCAATAAGAAAATGTTCATGAACACACCTATGAATGGGAGAATGTATAATTATTAGTTTGATTACACAACTGGCGAATAACCATGAATTACTCTGCTTGCTTTAGTATCTGGGGTGAGAAAATTAAGAAAATTGACCATTTAATCTTATTAAAAAGGCTTGGAATCTGTTGACAGTATGCTAGGGTTTGCTCGGCCGTTGATGCTCAGTGACTCCAGGCAGAACTTAGCATGGACAGAGGTTAACTGCTAGAACATCTGATGCTAAGAGTAGAGATCTGAATAAATAGTAGCACTCTGCCTTTGATCCTAGAGCGCTGTTCTAACATGCATTTCAGAGGGTTAAAGTCTGAAAATTTCAAATTATTTCTTTCCAAGGGACCTTTTAACTGGACGATTCCTGAAATGTGAGTTTACGTCTGCCCCAGGATACATGTAGCTGAAGGTCATAACGCCAATCATACTTGCCTGAGAAATTCAGGTAGTCTCTATTGTGCATCGAGTTCTTCCGAGAGCACCATACATCAAGCCAGGTCCCATGGACTGTTGTATGAAAAGTCCCACACCAGTGGACAGAGGCAATGGTTTTTGGAAGCAATGAATATCTCCAGCTATTACTAAAACATATTCTGAGAATGATACCATTGAGTCAGTCTCATGGTTATCAAGCAGAATCTCCTCTATCATATCCACGTTGTCTTCCAAGAACACAGGAGACCTTTGGACTTTTTCCTTCAAGTGTTCTTTAGTTTAACTCATTGTAGACAAGTCGTTTATGGATTGATTAGAAGAGACACAGCCACTATCACTAACATGCACACCTGGTAT